TAAAATGTGGAGGCCATGAACCTCCTATATCCCTTATTCCATACACCAGTATTCTTGTGCTTCCTCTTTAAACAGGTCCCGAAAGAAATCCATCTGCTAAGTTCATTCAGGGTAAAGAATTTTTGCCCAAAGTTTAAGTGTAAAGGAGATACCTGTCAGAATGATTCAGGTGTAACTCAAGGATAAACCATACAGGCAGACCTCCCCAGTGATATGAACAAGCCACTGGAATGCCATTAGTAAGCAAGACACATCATAGAATCTCCACTTTGTCTCCCTCTGTACATTTACCTTATTTCTCTATCTGAAGTCGGGCCTTATTGACGTTTTGCCTGCTGCATACATTGCCATCCCTCAGCTCCCAAGTTTACCTAACTGAATAATTGAGATCAAAAGAGTTTCTCCAGTTCCAATGCCAAATTCCTAGAGAGATAATCTGATGGCTTTTCCCAGGTCAGTACCATGCTCTTTATCCAATTGAGTGTGGAGTCATGTAGGAGGATGAATATGGATATTGAGGACTCAGATCTAGAGTCCAATGATACCTGTCTTTTGGAAGAGATGATGTGCAACATGAAACTATTGGTAAGAGAGAATTATAGGCATGAATGAAGCAGATAACTTTGGCTGAACCCTTTCTTGGTGTCTCACAAATACTGCTGTCTGGATAGCCTATGTATGCAGTGGGATGGCCTCATCTATCTGTTATATAGATTTCAAAAGTTCCTATATCAGTATTAGAGGATGGGAGTGATTCATCAGTTCCTGTTAGTACCTCCCCAATATTCTTCCAACACTTACTGTCCAGTGCCTGACAACCCTGTCCCATTGCGAATTTCTACCTAACGGCTTTCTTTCACACATGTGTGAGTTAATGCTCTTAGAAAGTCAATGCTCCCAGGGAGCAGCCCTTAGCAATGACAAATGGGAACTGGAGGATAAATATGAACCCAACTTGGCTCTGAGAAAGAAGGAAGATAACTGAGACGCAGTCTGTCCTGCAATCCAGAGATCCTGAGAAGTGAGCACCATTTGCATGTAGAACAAACCTAATAACTCATCCTTTTTTTTGGCTTCCACATATCATCTCGCTTTCTCACTCCACTAATGGTGCTTTCTGTGATCAACTCCCAAATAAACTACCTGCCCTCAAACACCTTTCTAAAGGTTTCCCTCTTTGGCATGCAACTTAAGACAGGGGCATAGGGCATAAATTGCCAAATGGCCCCTCTTCAGAGTTGGCATGATGGAGGGGAATGGGAGAGGTCAGTAGTTGACAAAGGTAAGAGAGATAAGCAGGAGCCATAAGAAAGCTTCAGGTCTAATGTGGATCTAGCTGAGTCAGGACACACAGCGTGAATACAGCTTGAACACTGGAGGAAGGTCTGATCTCTGCAGTGAAGGAAAAAAGAATCATTGGAGAAGAGGACTCAAAGTCCTCACCCAGATCATGGAACAAGATCCGTAACAGACAAGCTGAGTAGGACTCATCCCCTTGGAATCTCAGCAGATGGGAACATAAAGGGAGCAGGGCCTGCTGACTGCCTGGGGACATGGGATTCCCGGCCTGTGGTCAGCGACCTGAGGTGTATTAGGGAACCTTCTCAGCTGAGATGCAGGGGTGGGAATCAACCCGTCAATATAGTCCTAGTTCATCTGACTAACTGCTAATCTGTCTAAGCATAAGCATGCAGACTTATCCACAAATAGATCATTGGCTAATGTTTCACTTTAGATTAACGAAATGCTTCTTGTAAGAGGAAAGAGTTGTTTCCTTGTAGATATAATTTTAAAAAGATAAGGCCTTGATTTAAAAACTCTATAAAACACAATATTTTAAGGCTTAAAAACAGAGAGTACTTCAGAGTTTTACTCAGGAATATGTTAATTAACAAGCAAAGATACAAAGATCCCAACAATACGATATTCAGTGAGAATATGTGAACTCTGGCAGAAAAGGGCATAAAAATTGCTTAACTAATCCTAAAATGTAGAGACCAAGGCTCCTCTCAGTGATAGTTGATGAAGGAGAACCAGTTCTAATATTCTTCACTAGCTGATTGAATTGCAAAGTTTTACATAACTTTTAAAAGCTAAGCATCTCCTGAAACAGAGGAACAAAAAAACTTTAGTAACTGATTATAATCTATATATTTAAATCTCTAGAAACTCCATGGCTATTTCTACTTGAAAGTAATTAGATTTCCTTTATTAATTATATTTCCAAAACTCTAATGGAATTTGCAGTTTAAAATTAACTCAGAGACACTAGTAAAAAGGCACCCAATGTTCCTTCTTTGATGTATACCCTTCGGCTCTAAAAATTTAGCAATCAGGGATACAATATAAAAATATACAATCAAAGAGACTTAGAGAAGATAAACATGTCCATAGACAAAACACAATATAGAAAGCTGGAGTGGTTAATGGAGCTGACATCCAAGTTCCAAAGCAGGCAGTGGGAGAGGCAAGTTCACCTCCTTTGGGATAAGAAGCACTAGAGGTCTTTCATGTGAAAAGAGGAAATGGAATCAGCCTTACTGCTTGAATCCACAGCTATGATTCCTAAAAGTAGGGTGAACAAATACTGACAACTGCTGCCTGGGGCTACAGTTCACTATGGAGCTGCCTGAGGCTCACTAACCAGTTCTGCAAATCCTTCACATCCGGACCAGGGAGGAGGCCCAAGCCCTCATTATAAGAGCTGCTCCTCAACCAAGGGCCCCAGGACATTCATGGAAGTAGCACCGTAATTTCTTGTCAGGGAGGAAGGAGCCCACAGAGTGAAAGAAAAACAATGTAAAGCAAAAAGGACGTCTCCCTTAAATAAGCCTATGATCCACCATTCTAAAATGCATGAAGAAATCTAATGCTAAGAATGACAGCCAACAAGATAAACATCAGAACAGGAATTATGTCCTGATGATGTTATTATATAGAACATTTTCACGAATGTTTTATAGTAAGCATGGCTGAGATACTCAAAGAGATAAAAACTTAACATTCAAAAATGAATAAGAAAATATTAAACAAGTAGTTAAATATATTAAAAGGGCGAATATAAAAAACTAGTTGAAATATGAGAAATAAAAAATAGACAATAAAATCGGTAGATAGGATAAACTCTAAGCAGAACATTACCAAAGAAATTATTACTGACTTGGAAGATGGCACTGAACACTTCACCTACCGCACGGCAAAGAGGTAACAGGTCAAATACGTGCATGAGACCTTAAGATTCTCACAAGATCTACTGAAATCCTTTCCACTTCAACTTCAGGCCCTGATCTCTTGAGATCTCTTTCCAGAATATAAAGAATGCAGGCGCTGGCAGAGAAGGAATATTCGATATTAGCTGAGAATTTTCTGACGTTGAAGAGCGATATAAGTGTTCAAATCGATACTGTACTTTGAGTACCCAGCAGAATGATAATGATGATGATGATAATAATAATAATAATATAACAACATAATAAATCTATTGCTGGAAACATAGAGAAAGTTTTAGGAAATCAAGAATGAAAGAAAAGCTGAAAAGCTGAAAAGAAAAGTCAGTTTACTTAGAAGTTAATAACTTGACATATAACAGATTTCTCATTATCAACAAGAAAGGCCATAGAAAATGAGGTAATAGCTTCCAAGTGCTGAGGGGAAAAATAATTATGAACTCAGAATTCTATACCCAGGAAAAGTGTAATTTGACAGTAAAATGAAGACCTTTTTAGAAATAAAAAGACTAAAAGAAGTTGCCACAAACAAAACCTTACTTACCGATTTTGGTTAGAAGAAAGACCCTAAATGAATGACATTGTTTTTCTTTGGACAAGTATATTTCAACAGTGTGTTTACAGGGAGGTTGGACTCAAAACTTTCCCCAGGCTCCTCACATGCCCCCCTTAACCCTTTCCTTCCCAGTGGTAAATATACCACATTGTCCAGCCTGTTCTCCAGGAACTGTACCTCGCTATGTGGTTGGCTGGCTCAGTGGGGACAAGACCCCTGACTAGTGTACCCCTATGCTGGGAGCAGGATCTAGACGTTTCTTTTATCAATTTCTTCTCAGTTTATACCACTGCCTCTTCTTCTCTCTGCTTGCTACTCTTTAAAAATGTTTGTTTTTCAGAGTTGTATCAGTGCCCCTCTTCTTTTAATATTTTACCTTAATGTGTGAACATTAGAAACACCTAAACACATGTTAAAATGTAGATTCTTGCATCTAGCCCCAAACATACTGACTGAGAATGAAGGAGAGTGAACCTTATAACTCTTCATTTTTAGCAATCAACTCAGATAATTCTAACACATACTAGAGTTTGAGAACCACTGCTTGTATAAGCTTTCTATGCGTAATATCATGTTTAGCTTTGCTTTTGACTCATAATAAGTCACCGATAAGTCTAAAAATTTCTACTAGAATCAAGCCCATGTTATAAGTTCTATATGAATATATCTACCTGCTAACTGGCCATTTCAATATAGGTGTCCTATATCTATATGTACAAAATAGTACATCCAAATTTGAACCCATCTTCTTATCCCTTTATTCCATGGAGTCCCTGAGCTGAGAAGGTGAATTACCTTAAGCTCCTCTGTTCCCACCTACATTTGTTCCCACGTTTTCTGTCACTCCCCAAACCATTTATCCTGAGCTCCAAGCACTGCTTACTTGTTCCTGGATGTGCTATGTTCTGTCACATTTGTATGCTCTGGCATATGTTCCTCCTCTAGCCTGAGAGGTCATACTCCCTTTCTATACCTGGAAGACTCCAACTCCATTAATACCCTGGTCAAATGTGACGTTTTCCTTGAGGCCTTTTCTCACTCCCCAGACATTTCCTCACCTCTGTTTCTACACCAAGGTCTCAATCACAGCACTTTCCATATTGCCTGGAAACTACCTGCTTACACTTGTCTTTCCAACCCAGGGAGCACTTGCAGGAAAGGTCTGATCAGGGCTCACTTGATTTTATGTCAAGGTTGAGTACAGAACGTAACTTGGAGCAGGACTTAACATCTGTTTATTAGGTAAGGGCATAAACACATGAGTGAATTAATACATATTTGACCAAGGTTTAAAGAATTCACAATAAAATTCTAAATCAGCATATGTAATTTTTAAATGTACAGTGTCAGCTTCATGTGGAACTTTCAGATTCCCAGAAAACTCTTATCTTTCATTCTACAGGAAAGTCACATACTAATGAGCAAGTCGTGATCCTCAAATAAGAACCCCCAAGCAAAACCTCTTACTGATTTTTCAGACTCCTTTTCAAATACGAAGCTATAAACATCAACACAATAAAGCATAGTCCTTATTCTCTGAGAGTTAAGGAAGAAGTCTGTAGACATTATTAGACCTTTTTCTGGTTACTCCCCATGTGACTGCTCTGTCTAAATTGATTTGATGCCCTTTGATTTTAAAAGCCATTGACATTCACAAGTGCTGGACTAAGAAATATTCTGAAGTATACAATGCATTAGTTTCCTCCTCCTGCATCCTTTTCTGACAGCTTTGGATTCTTAGAATTTTCTTCACTATTCAGTTTTGTCTACTTGAGTTGTCCCCACCTCATTTTCATTTGGACAAATAATAGCACACTGACATTTCAAATTACAGATGCCTCTTCTGAAGAAGGTAATACCCAGAATAAAATTTGAAACATAACAACCTAGCATCAAAATTTTAAGCATTTTTGAAATATTCACAACATGAAATAGTTACTAGCATGTCTCCCAATATCTCATCCTCACTCCCGTCTCTGATGAAGAAAAGTCAAATCCAAATGCACTCCGTTCTGGGTACCTTAATTTCAAGTATTGGAGCATTCCAGATTGGAGAGCAATTGTGATTCTCAGAAGGCTTAATATAAAAAGGTATAAGATTATTTAAATATTGTGCATTACCGTAAACACCAAAACATCAAAGCAATTAGATCTTTAGAGATCTAATGTACTTAGGTACATTATGGCAAATGTGATTTTACTTTCCTAAGGATTTCGAGAGGTCTTCTGAAGGCTTTGAGAGAAATATACTCAGAGACTGACCACCCTGCCACCCCCTACATACACAGTACAGCAGAGGAAAGGACAGACAAATGCTCTGTCTCTGTACTCAAAGAAACATCTTTAGAGGGCCAGAGAACAAGAAGGGCTTTTAGAGATTCACAGAATTTTAGCTCTTATCCTTTCTAGGGATGGCAAATCTAGGGTACATGGGCCTCCACTCTCCTCTACTTCAATCACTGCAGACAAGAATAACTGATCCCACAGATGTGTCCCCAGAATTCTACTTAACACCATGTGGAGAAATTATGATCAACCCATTCGCAGTGGTTCCTATAGGCCAAGAAAGGTTGCCAAACTTTTTCTATAAAGTACCAGAGGGTAAATATTTTAAGCTTTGCAGCTATATGCTTTCTGTCCACTCAACTTTGCTGTTAGAGCATAAAAGCAGCCACTGACAATACAGAAAGAAATGACTGTGGCTGTGTTCTCATAAAACTTTATTTATAGACAATGAAATTTAAATTTTATGTAATTTTCTTGTGTCACTCAATAGTCTTCCATTGATTTGTTCCACCATTTAAAAATATAAAAATCCTTACTTACCAGTAGGCTGTATAAAAATAGGCGGCAGATTAGGTTTGGCCCACGGGCTATAGTTTGCCAACTCTTGTCCTACTACAGTTCTTTTATTTTGCACACAAGGAAACAGGATACAAAAAAGTTAAGCCACTTGCTTAAGATCATGTGAATGATTCGTGGCAGAGCCAGTCATTTTGTGTCAAATTGTCTTAAAGATGGTCCACATTAGCTGTTTATTATATTTCCGCTCAATGATAAGTACTAAGCAACATATTTTTCTTTACTTTCAGAAAATGAACTTTTCCCTGGATCATTTTGAAATATACCTTTATTATTTAAAGACTCACTATAGGAGCATATGGCCTACGTACACTTCTGTGCATGGATTTTTAAGTTGAAATCATTTTTCAGTTTTACTACAAATGTACTCTTGTACTTTAAAAATAAGACGATCTCAATATTTGCAACCCAGTATTTGCATTTTAAAACATACACATAACTCAGAAATTAGGTATAACATATTCAGAGAATAGATTTAGTCAATGTTTTAAAAAATATAGAAGGCCTATTATAATTGAAACATTATTCCTCAGAAACATTCCAAAAGATGAAATAGCATTCATGAAAATCCGTCCAATTCTACTTAAGACCAAGAAATATTTTGGAAAAAATGATTTTTTATTTATTCTTCAACATCAAAGGAGCACCCTTGATGGTAGAGGACACCCCTGTCCTTATGAGTTTAGCATTTTCACGGATAAAATTGGTCTGCTGAACTGGCTTGCTGTCAAAAATCTTGTTAGTAGTGTCAACTTTGGCTTTTACATTCTTTGGTGGCTCGGTAGCTTGAGGCAACCCATTGACATTGTACAACTGGTACATATTTTCTGTCTGGAAACAAAGAGAGGGAGAGATTTATATGAAATATCCGGGGACTGAGAAACACGTAGAAAAAAGTTTACGAAATTAACACTTTCTCTCTTCCGCATGTAAGGTACAGGAAAGATACAAAACTGAAACTGCATCGTTCACTAAAAAGTTTCTCACAGTTAGAGGTCTGCCCTGTGGGTGAACTAAGCATCCATCTGATCTAAGAGGAAGCCATCTCTTTGGTTTGTATGAAACTGTTGCCCAGCGTGAACTGTAACTAATGGAAACAATACCTTGCAAGATAAACTTTCCCATGAGAACTCAAGTGTGGCCATAGAACCGACTGATAAAATACATCCATCTTCTGTTTTTTAGATTATGAAAGTACATAATTAATACAACAGCTTGAAATTACTGAGCATGGGGTAAAATCACTAATGAGAATCATAATCTAAATCCAAGTCAGTACAACTTATACAGGGATTTATTTAAAAATCTTTCATTTCTTGTGCATATATGCACAGGGTGGCAATATTGAATTAGGTAGTCTAGCATTTTCTGAATGTTTATGTTCATACTTAAATCCTGTTGCTCTTGCAGAATTTCCTGACGCTCCCTGTGATTTTCTAGGCCTTCTTTCTCACAGTGAGATTTGTATACCATGTATGTGCAGAAAACTCATTCAGGATAAGTCCAGGCCAAGTGAATATTGCAGTAACATCAGGGTTTATCATGTAGTGTTATCTATCAAAGAATGTTAAGTGTAGGAATTTCTTGCACATCTAGAATGGTCCTATTTTAATCATAACTGGCCCTTCTATCCAGTGTTCATGGTAATTCAGTATTCAGAATCAATGAGTTATAGTGGAACAAACCAAGAACCACACTAGAACTGGGTTAAATAACATTTTACTTCATATAAGAATGTTTAATTTGAAAAACAAAGCTTCATTTTGGTGACTGTGCATATGTCATTGTAAATTTTTATATTACAAGTGACCCATTTCACAAATACAAATGCGAGAGTTACATAAAGGGACTTGCTCTCCTGCCTGACACTTAGTGAGTACACAAGGAGTGAGCTACACGAAGGGATGTACACTCTGATCTGAAACCTAGTGGGTACAAATGGGAACTACATGTAGGGATTTGTACCTGTGCCTGACACATCGCCAAGACTCTTTGAAAATAATTACCTATAAACACACTATTTGTAAAGTCCTAAATGTTACTGTGTGCATTTCAATTAAGATTCAAATAATTTTGCAATAAGTGATGCTGAGTGTGTGTGTATATATATTTGTATATTCTCTTTTTCTTTTTGAGGAAGATTAGCCATGAGCTGACATCTGCTGCCAATCCTCCTCTTTTTTGCTGAGGAAGACTGGCCCTGAGCTAACATCCATGCCCATCTTCCTCTATTTTATATGCAGGACGCCTGCCACAGCATGGCTTGACAAGCAGTGTGTAGGTCCACACCCAGGATCCGAACCAAAGAACCCTGGGCCCGCCGAAGCAGAATGTGTGAACTTTACCATTACACCACCTGGCTGGCCCTATATATTCTTAAATATATATAATCCAAATATAAGATATATTTGTAAGTTCTTCGTGTCCTTTCTTCCAACAATCTATATGGTAATAAGAATATGTTTATTTTATAAAGATTAAATATTACAGCTCTTATATCTATAGTTAACTTCCCTCAATCAAATTGTGAATAAAAACAATTATTTATGTTTTCAAAAACATTTCAAAGACCTAGCTCTATATCTTCTACACTCAATCTCCTTTTGAAAATATAAATAAAAAAGGAGTTAAAATAATACAGGAATAAGTCAATAACTCCATGTCACTAACGCCTCATAGAATCACTGTGTTAATTTTTACAAAAGAATCCCAAATTGACAATTATACTCCTCAACTATTTATTTAAAGAAATATTAAAAAAGAACTACTTGTTAAACAGATAACATTTCCATATTTAGGTAATGTCCCTCTAGTCTGAAAAAGGATCAGCCAAAGCCAAAGAACCCGGAGAATAAATGCCCAAAGCTTTGTTTTAAAGGGCACATTCTTATGAATGGAAACAACTGATAATCCACTAGCAGATGTGGTCTGTGCCCACCGACATCCCTCAGCTGTTTCCATTTCACTGCTTGCCCCAACTTCCATTTGCCAGTATCTCCACCTCTTTGACTTAGAGTTTTTCAGAAACTCCAGAAAGCTTTTCTGCTTCCAGGGAATTAACAATCCCTGGGAGCATTCCTCAATCAATGATTGAACAGTGGCAGTTGGCATATAAACACCCAAACCCCTGGCCCCCTCGGGTGTGAATATTCTAGGGGTGCATTCCACACTATTTCTCAGAGAACTCCCATGGGATTGAATTCCAGGTGCCCACTGTGGTAGCTGCCTCGATGAAGCACCCTTTCTGGGTTTCCATTCCCTCTCTGTCTCATATCCTGGCTTCTCTATGTCTGTTTCTTGAGACCACATAGCAAATACGCTACTTGGACTTGAATTCTCATTTCAGCATCTGCTTATGAGGAAATACAAACCAAGATATATTTATATTGATAATGCCATTTCCCACAGTTTCATGACAATGACCAATTCCTTTAAAAGCAATGCATTTACATACATGTTACTCATGTCCGGTTATGTCTCTAGAGATAACAGGTCCGTCTATATATACAGACGGTCCCTTCTTATGATTTCTTTTACTTTTCGATGGTGTGAAAGCAATACGCATTCAGTAGAAACCATACTTCCGGTTTTGAATTTTGGTCTTTTCCTGGTCTGGTGATATGCTGTACGATACTCTCTTGTGATTTGATTCTGGGCAGCAGCAGCGAGAGCAGCTCCCAGGCAGCCCTGCCATCACCAGGGTGAACAACTAATACACTTACAACCATTCTGTACCCATACCACTGTTCTGTTTTTCACTTTCAGTACAGAATTCCATACATTACAGGAGACATTTAAAGTTTTATTATAAAATAAGCTTTGCGTTAGATGATTTTGCCCAACTGTGGGCTAATGTAAGTGATCTGAGCATGTTTAAGGTAGACAAGGCTAAGCTATGATTTTCAGTAGGTTAGGTGTATTAAATGCATTTTCGACTTAAGATATTTCCAACTTAGGATGGGTTTATTGGGACCTAACCCCATTGCAAGTCAAGGAAGATCTATAAATATTACTTTTGTACAAGCATTATATGTTTTATATTGGATAATTCTGATGGTACTCAGATTTTTATATAAACTATGTAAGATTTATCATGTCCACCACGGAAAGTTGAGTGGACTATCTACTCTCTTTGAGTAGCACTGCTTTTTTTAACAGTCTGATCAAGTTAACTTAAGTCTCTCTAAGCCAGTGCCACATACCTTGTTTAATAGTGAGGGAAAGGCAGTTTTTAATCACTCTAAATATGGTTTAATTGAAAGGGAAATTACGAAGCTTGCTAATGTGATTGTTGAAGTTCGTGTAGGCTAATATTTAACTAAACTATTCTTAAAAATCCTCATTCTTACTTCCAAGTAAAGCACAATGAAGATCATGTTTCATTTATGTTACAGGTATTAATTGACAATGCATAAAATCAATATTTTTAAAAAGATGATATGTAAACAATAATTTTCATTTAGATAATGAATTACCTTTTAAATTCTTCACTTTTATCATGTGAGACATCACAGTGTTGTCATTAAGAGCAGGGTTTTGAGTAAGACAATGTTTGAACCATGATTTCAAAATCATTGATTTGATATATGCAGTAACTTTTGTGAATCTCAAAAGCATTATACTTAGCATAACAAGCCAGTCTCAAAAGGTGACATAGAGTATGGTTCCATTTATATAATATTCTAGAAATTATAAAATCATGGAGATGGAGAAAAGATAAATGGTTGCCAGGGATAGAGAGGGAGTTACAGTGTTGGACACGACTATAAAAGGTTAGCATGACACAGTTCCTCGTGGCAATGGAAGAGTTGTGTAGCTCAGTTGTGACTGTAGCCATATACATCTACACATGGGTTCAAATGGCCTAAAACCACACACACGCACACACACACACACACACGCACACGCACAAATACGTGCGAAAAATGCTAAAAATGGAATAAGGTCTCTAGCCTAGTTACCAGTATTTTATCAATGGCAATTTCCTTGTTTTGATATTTTACTACAGCTATAAAAGATGTCACCATTGGGAGAAGATGGGAGAAGGAGTCACAGAACTCTATGTACTATTTTTGCAATTTCCTTTAAGTCTATACAGATTTTTTTAAGTTAAGAAATATGAGATTTATGAGTCAATTGGAAATTTGAACACTAAATGAATATTTGATAAGTGCTGATATTAAGGAATTATTTTTCGATGTGATAATGGTATCATGGTTATGATTTTTATCTTTTAGAGATTAATAGGAAATATTTGCAGATAATAGGGTGTCTGGGGTTTTCTTCAAAATAATATGGAAAGTGGGGAAGGGGGTGGGAATAGAGCTGAAGAAGGATTGGCCGTGAGTTGCTAAGTGTTCATACCAGATGATGAGTACATGGAGGTAAATTATTCTATTTCTACACATATTTGGAATTTTCCATAATAAAAATAGAATCAACAAAATAGTGACAAACACATTTCAATCTCAATTTTCCCCACATAAGCTTTGTCAAACTGTACTACTTCAGACTAAATGAAAATGTCATCTTCTCAGTTGATCCCATATACCAACTTATTCGCTCACAGAAACCCCTCAATTCTGCTGCCAGTGATTTAATTGTCAAATCTACACGGGAAACCAGGCAGATTTTGTTGGTAGAGCTTCTTAAGTAGTTAATTTCAGAAATGTCTACTGTATGCTAAATAAAATGAACACCATTTTAATTTGTAAATCTATTTTTAAAGATGTCGTTTTATCCCCTTAAAGTATATAATTATTTCTTGAGAGGCAGGTTCAACAATATGATCACTTTGAATCGAGTATCAATGCAGCAAAAGGATATGTACAGCAAGGCTCCAGAGGCTCTAGATTTTCATTACTCGGGTTATAAGGACTCTCAGAAAGATGAAAAATATAAATAATTTTTGCAAGCAATATTCAACATTATTCCTTTTCTCTATTCATTAAGACAGTAACAACACATTTGTCTGCCCGTGGCACTGCCTAATTAGTGTCTTATTTAGAAGTCTAGTAATCACTTTAGCATCAAGTAGTTGTGTCTTGAAACATGACCACACATCCTTTGTGCCTGTGCTACTGAAAATAGACAGTGGCAATAGATATCTTTTCAGAAATAATTTGAAAGTTGCCTTTAGCTGAAAAGTTCTGAGTAGAATAGATTTGTGAAATTTTGTGGAGAAATTTTGCTTACCAGATAAATTTTCAAAATTGTTTTGATCTTATTTATTTAACTTTAAATAAAATGATCACTTTACCATCTTTTATATTAATGGCCCATTTTACATTGTGCTTTTTTCAATTCAAAATAAATTTTATCTTCTATTTAATTTTCTTCATTTTAGACTTTAACATTTTGACAATACCTTATGCCTTAAATCATAGGTTCCAAAATCTCTACCTCAAATCACCTAAAGTCTTTGACTAGGTTATTATGGAAAATAAGATGTGAGGGGCCGGCCCGGTGGCGCAGCAGTTAAGTTCACACGTTCCGCTTCTCCGCGGCCCGGGGTTCGCTGCTTCGGATCCCGGGTGCAGACATGGCACCACTTGGCACGCGTCCCACATGGAAAGTAGAGGAAGATGGGTACGATGTTAGCTCAGGGCCAGGCTTCCTCAGCAAAAAGAGGAGGACTGGCAGTAGTTAGCTCAGGGCTAATCTTCCTCAAAATATAAAAAAAAACATAAATAAAAAAAGAAAATAATATGTGAATATACAAATCACTTTACAGTAATTATTTATCTCTTCCATATTTCCTTAATATGGAAGAGGTAAATAATTTCTTACTTTCCACTGGTGATGGCAAATTTTTGTCATATTTCATATTTTGAAAGTTCTTTACTGGACAAAAAGAAATTAAAACAAGACAGAGCAGTTGAAATATGTTGACTTTTCCAAGATAATGTTATTCTTTACCTGCGATCACTGGGTGAAACCTTTTCTCCCTAATTCATTTAACGCCTTTAGTAACATCAAACATCCTTGACTATTGCTTTTACAGAACTCACCTGTACTACTAAATTTGCTTTGTATTTCTTACTGTACATTTGCGGTTTAAATCCCACAGTGATGACAGTTCCTCTAGTGTTAAAAGGAAGAAGTTCTCCAACCTGAGGTTTTACAAAAAACTCAGGATCACTGCCAGGTAGGAAGTATGCAGTGAATGGCTCAGGATGTCTGGAAAAAAATATAAATATCAACCTTTAAATTTTATTATTACTCCATTCTCTTGGTGAGAACTTGATAGAGTTTATATCCGGTTGCATTGGACTACTGTTAAACATTAATGCTTCTATGCAGCTGTGAGTCTGATATTTGTTACTTGATGGAAGGCCTACAGAATAATAGTGAGGAAGCATTTTTAAAATTACTAAAGAGTATAATTCTCCCCAGGGTAACAAAATGGAATCTTAAAGATTTTGTCAATCACATCTTATATTTACAGTCTACAAAGAATAAAATGCTGTCTCTATAAAAATTGGAAGAACTCGATGTCCCAAATGAAAAATCAATCATTTATAAATAAATTCATATCTAAAATGCCTGATCACAAAAGCTATCATAAAGCCTTTGTTTTTACTACTATTCCAATGTGATATTTGCTCACTCTCCTTTAGCTTTCCAATTGCTAAGTCAGGTGAAAGAACTTTAGGTTCATTAAAGATTCAAGTAACTATCTTCATGTCAAAGATTATTATATTTGAGGTGAAGACTGTGAAAGTTGAGGAACTTCTTAGTAGTATAGAGCAGGAGAGAGGCACAGTACATGGGAGGTTGTAGGTGAGGAATTTAAAATCCAACAGACAGGGAAGATGCAGGTAGAAGGTAAAGAACAGTTTCCTAGAACAGATAAAACTGAAATGATACCAAGCATCTTTTCTGACCACAACAGTCTGAAACCAGAAATCAACTACAGGAAGAAAATCAGAAAAGACACAAATATATGAAGATTAAACAAAATGCTACTGGAACAACGATTGGTTCAATGAAGAAATCAAAGAAGAAACCCAAAAATACTTGGAGACAAATGAAAATAAAAATACAACATTCCAAAAATTTATGTGATACAGCAAAAGTGGTTCAAAGAGGGAAGTTTATAGCAATACAGGGTTCCCTCAACAAATAAGAAAAATCTCAAATACACACTCTGACAGTGCACCTAAAGGAACTGGAAAAAGAAGAACAAACAAAGCTGCAAATCAGTAGAAGGAAGGAAATAATAAAAATCAGGGTGGAGATAAATGAAATAGAGACTAAAAAAAAAAAAATAGAAAAAATACCAATGAAACAAAGAGCTAGTTCTTTGAAAAGATAAACAAAATTGACAAATCTTTAGCTAGACTCACCAAAAAAAAAGAGAGAGAAAGCTCAAATAAAATCAGAAATGAAAGACAAGAAATTACAATGGACACCTCAGAAATACAAAAGATTATAAGAGAATACTACAAAAAGCTATACACCAACAAATTGAATAATCTAGAAAAAATGAATAAATTCTTAGATTCATACAACCTTCCAAAACCGAATCAAGAAGAAATAGAGAATTTGAATAGACCAATCCCTGGTAAGGAGATCAAAAGAGTAATCAAAAAACTCCCCAAAATAAAAGTCCAGGACCAGACAGCTTCCCTGGTGAATTCTACCAAACATTCAAAGAAGACTTAATACCTATCCTTCTCAAACTCTTCAAAAAACTGAAGAGGAGGGGAAGCTTCCTAACTCATTCTATGAAGCTAACATTACCCTGATACCAAAACCAGAGAAGGACAACACAAAGAAAGAAAATTCCAGGCCAATATTACTGATGAACATCGATGCAAAATCCTCAACAAAATACTAGCAACTCAAATACAACAATACATTAAAAAGATCATACACCATGATCAGATGTGATTTATTCCAGGGATGCAGGGATGGTTCAACATCTGCAAAACAATCAATGTGATACACCACATTAACAAAATGAAGAATAAAAATGACATGATCATCTCAATAGATGCAGAGAAAGCATTTGACAAGATATAGCATACATTTATGATAAAAACTCTGAATAATCAGTAGCATTTCTATACTCTAACAACGAACTAACAGAAAAAGAACTCAAGAACTCAATCCCATTCACAATCACAACAAAAAGAATAGAATACCTTGGGGTGAATTTAGCCAAGGAAGTGAAAGACCTATACAACGAAAACTACAAGACTTTCCTGAAAGAAATTGATGACGACATAAAGAGATGGAAAGACATTCCATGCACATGGATTGGAAGAATAAACATAGTGAAAATGTCCATACTACCTAAAGCAATCTACAGATTCAATGCTATCCCAATCAGAATCCCAATGATGTTCTTTACAGAAATAGAACAAAGAATCCTAAAATTCATATGGGGCAACAAAAGACCCCGAATTGCTAAAGCAATCCTGAGAAAAAAGAACAAAGCTGCAGGCATCACAATCCCTGACTTCAAAGCATACTACAAAGCTACAGTAGTCAAAACAGCATGGTACTGGCACAAAAACAGGTGCACAGATCAATGGAACAGAATTGAAAGCCCAGAGATAAAACCACACATCTATGGACAGCTAATCTTCAACAAAGGAGCTGAGGGCCTACAATGGAGAAAAGAAAGTCTCTTCAACAAATGGTGCTGGGAAAACTGGACAGCCACATGTAAAAGGATGAAAATTGACCATTCTTTTTCACCATTCACAAAAATAAACTCAAAATGGACCAAAGACCTAAAGATTAGAACTGAAACAATAAGTCTTCTAGAAGAGAATATAGGCAGTACACTCTTTGACATCAGCATCAAAAGAATCTTTTTGTACACCATAACTCCTCAGACGAGGGAAACAATAGAAAGAATAAACAAAGGGGACTTCATCAGTCTAAAGAGCTTCTTCAAGACAAGGGAAAACAGGATTGAAACAAAAAAAACCCCACTAGTTGGGAAAAAATATTTACAAGTTATATATCAAAGGGTTAATCTCCATAATATATAAAGAACGCACACAGCTCAACAACAAAAAAATCAAACAACCCGATCAAAAAATGGCCAGGGGACATGAACAGACATTTCTCCAAAGAAGATATAAGGATGGCAAATAGACACATGAAAAGATGCTCAGCATCACTAATCATCAGGGAAATGCAAATCAAAACTATACTAAGATATCACCTTACACCTGTTAGAATGGCAAAAATAACCAAAACAAAAAGTGACAAATGTTGGAGAGGTTGTGGAGAAAAAGGAACCCTCATACACTGTTGGTGGGAATGCAAACTGGTGCAGCCACTAAGGAAAACAGTATGGAGATTTCTCAAAAAATTAAAAATTGAAATACCATATGACCCAGTCATCCCACTACTGGGTATCTCTCCAAAGAACTTGAAATCAGCAATTCCAAAAGTCCCATGCACCCCTATGTTCATCGCAGCATTATTTGCAATAGCCAAGACGTGGAAGCAACCTAAGTGCCCATCAACTGATGACTGGATAAAGAAGACATGGTATATATATATATATATATATATACAATGGAATACTACTCAGCCATAAAAAAGGACAAAATCATCCCATTCACAACAACATGGATGGACCTTGAAGGTATTATGTTAAATGAAATAAGCCACATAGAGAAAGACGAACTCTGTATGACTCCACTCATAGGTGGAAGTTAGCATATAGACAAAGAGAACTGATTGGTGGTTACCAGGGGAAAGCGGGGGTTGGGGGAGGGCACAAAGGTGAAGGGTGCACCTACAACATGACTAACAATAATGTACAACTGAAATTTCACAAGGTTGTAAACTATCATAATCTTAATAAAAAGTTAAAAAAAAACCCTCTGAATAAAATGGGTATAGAAGGAAAGTATCTCAACATAATAAAGGTCATATAGAACAAAGCCACAGCTAATATCATACTCAATGGAGAAAAACTGAAAGCTATCCCTCTAAGAACAGGAACGAGACAAGGATGCCCACTTCAACACTCTTATTTAACATAGTATTGGAACTCCTAACCAGAGCAATCAGGTAAGAAAAAGAAATAAAAGGGATCCAAAATGGAAAGGAAGAAGTGAAACGGTCACTATTTGCAGATAACATGATTTAGTATATATAGAAAACCCTAAAGAATCCACCAAAAAGCTTTTAGAAATAATAAATGAATATGGTAAAGTTGCCGGATACAAAATCAACATAGAAAAATCAGTTGCATTTCTATACACTAACAACAAAGTAGCAGAAAGAGAAATTAAGAATACAATCCCATTTACAATTACAACAAAAAGAATAAAATACCTAGGAATAAATTTAACCAAGGAGGTGAAAGACCTGTACACTGAAAACTATAAACCATTGTTGAAAGAAATAGAAGACACAAAGAAATAGAAAGATATTCCATGCTCTCGGATTGGAAGAATTAACATAGTTAAAATGTCCATACTTCCTAAAGCAATCTTCAGATTCAATGCAATCCCCATCAAAGTTCCAATGACACTTTTCACAGAAATAGAACAAAGAATCCTAAAATTTATATGGAACAAAAGACACTGAATAGCCAAAGGAATCCTGAGAAGAAAGAACAAAGCTGGAGGTCACACTCCCTGATTTCAAAATATACTACAAAGCCATAGTAATCAAAACAGTATTGTACTGGCACAAAAACAGACAGATAAATCAGTGGAACAGAATTGAGAGCCAAGAAATAAACCCACACATGTATGGATAGCTAATTTTCAACAAGGGAACATACAAGAACATACAATGGAGAAAGGAGGGTTTCTTCAATAAATGGTGTTGGGAAAACTGGACAGCCACATGCAAAAGAATGAAAGTAGGCCATTATCTTACACCATACACAGAAATTAACTCAAAGTGGATTAAAGACTTGATTGTAAGACGTGAAACCATGAAACTTATAGAACTTCTAGATGAGACAGTATGCTCATCATCATTGGTCTTAGCAGAATATTTTCAAATACCATGTCTGACCAGGCAAGGGAAACAAAAGAAAAAATAAACAAATGGGACTACATCAAACTAAAAGCCTTCTGCAGAGCAAAGAAGACCATCAACAAAACAAAAAGACAGCCAAACAATTGGCAGAAGATATTTGCAAACCTAATATCTGATAAGACATTAATATCCAAAATATATAAAGAACTCAC